CGATAAAGTCATTTGAAAACTTAAAACACACAAACGAAGATCGACACCAGTTTATGTTTACAAACGTAGCTACACCGCCACCACACCTCTTTTTATTGTTCGATCGATCCTGACGATAAATTTTAAAATCACGTAGTGATACAAGGCAGTCATCCTGTAAATCATTCAACCAAGATTCTTGAACTGTGATGACACCACAATTACGATACGTATTTTGACTAAGTAAGAATTGCAGATAGTCCACTTTGTTGATTAGTGATCGGCAGTTAGAATTTAGTAGCTCGGGAATTGACATATGATTAATGTTCATTCTTCTTAACGCATATTGCCAACCACCACGATGCCTTTTGTAGTACTTTTTCGTAACTTGTGCGGCGGAAGGTCGTAGGCTTTTCATAAAAGCGCCTGAATAGGTTATGCGATTAATGGACATAATTATAAATTAAAACAAATGAAAAACAGATAACTTGTTGAAATAATCAGATGGCAGAAACAGGTAGCCCAGATATTCAAGCAGGCCGCCTACTGTAACATTTAAATTAACAATTATCTTTTCTAATAATAGAAAATCTTAGCGAATAATATTATTTATAGAATAGAAATCGTGAGAAAAATGACATTGAATCATGCTGAAATATATTTACCCTTGAAGAATAATAGTCCATGATCTATTGGATACGACTGTAATTGTTATTTAATGGCAAATACTTTTAAGGAACAATGAATGATTCAATAATTCGTTATTTCATTGTGAGAAAAGTAAATATCATATTTCAGTAATTAAATTCATGAGTCGATGTAGGCTAAACCACTACTGAAAATTTGGAAGTACTGAACGGCCGTTTCATCCTGGATGGGTCAACTGACGTTAGACATTAACACCGTTGAATCCTGAACAAGTGATCTAAAGATTAGGCGTTCGCATGCGAATTTAATCATCCGACAACTAATTTCACCGTTTAAAATTTTAGAAAATTTCATCAATGTTTCGATTTTAGATGCCATTTGTTCTAAATTGACAAAATTCATTCACTTTTTAGTTGTTTAATCAAGTAAAACACAACTGCTTTTCATTTAATTAACTCTCACTATATCTTTTTTTTAACCAGACTAGTTTTTTTATGTCTATGTCATGTTTTATACTTAGGTCAGTTTAAGAAATAAATTATCCATTGTGATGAGATACATTTGACAGTCATTTTAATTAGTTCCCATTGATTTATGTTATAGAAATAATGTAAATGTATTCAATAAATGTTGTTCATACAGAAGTCTTTTAGAAGTGGTTTTTTTTAATAATTGATTTTCAAATACCTAAAAATCTATAATGAACTAATTCTTTGTCTCATTTTTCATTTTTCACTATGACAACAATATAATTTAGAATTACTTCATAGTCCTATTCAACATCATTGTTTGAAAATCATTTGGGTTGGAATTTAAATAGTATATTATCTAAATGTAATCATTAAACAATGATATGAGTTCACCATGGCCAAGATATTGAAGGAGTTTCTGTTGAAGTTCTTGAACAAATGATCCTTATATAATGAAAAGCTAAGTATATTAAATAGTATCGCAAATCGATGTTCTGTTGAATGTTATGCTAATAATCTTCATAACCACTTCATGTTGCTACTGATCAAACAAACAAATTATATATAAATTCCACAACATGAAACAACTCTAAACATAATGGAATACTAAAAAATGTATACAATATATGCCGCGCATCAAATTTCTATACATGTATTTAAGCAGTACAAATTACTGAGATTGTTATTTCAACGAAATGCTTTGTGATCGCTTGAAATCCCGGTTGTAATATTATTGTTATTCATTTTGTATACCATTGAGCTACAAAATGTTAATCAGAATCTATTCATAGATAAAAAAACACATGAATGTAACAATAATATAACTGACTTATATTCATGACAAGTTATACACAAAAATGAAGTTTACCAAACAAAATACATTCTTTTACTAAACAAACAATCCATCATTAATCTTAATCACTTTTTTGGTTAATCTATTTTCCTACCTACTTTCTTTTTGTTTGTTTTGGTTTTAGTATTTACAGATTCCATCCGATTCAATGAAGTAGTTTTTTTTTGTCACTGAGTCATTCTATACAGAGACTTTTGTTTGTATTTTGTCGAAAATGAATTAATAGAAGTACAGTTTAATCCGATTTATCTAAAAAAAAGTTTTCAATGACAAATGAAGGAAGAATCTAATTATTCTAGATTAAAATCGAATTTAACATAGAAGATGATAAAGAAAGTGTTACTAGTTTGTTTGTTTGTTTCTTTTTGATTTAATTTTCAATAATTATCTTTTGTATAGTTAAATGTTTTCTAATACAAATGATTCTTCTGTCATATAATTTAGCAATATTTATGCTAATTCTAATGGCCAATATATCAACCTATTTATATTTAGAATTAATTCCTGTTTTTGGAAGTCACTTAAACTTATTGATAAACAGTACACAAATACAAAATGTTTTATGCATTATTCATTCAAGTAAATAATTGGTTGAAGTTAGACATTAACACCATTGGATGTCGGCTCAGTGGTCCAGTAAGTTAAGCGTTCGCGGCCATGGGTTTGAATCCTACCAGCGGGATCGTGGATGCGCACTGCTGAGGAGTCCCACAATAGAACGAAACGGCCATCCAGTGCTTCCAGGTTTCCAATGGTGGTCTAACATCAATCGGTTCATGATCTCAATCTAAATAATTCGATAAGTTGAATAATTGATAAAAATGATCGTTGAACTGAATAGGTTGATACTACTTTGCGTAGTAGTCATGTTATCTTGATGATGTCTAGACAAGTTTTCTGGGTGAAACGTTGGGATTATTCGAATTTGAATTGCTGAGATTATTTTAAATATAATTTTTACACATACTGTCTCCTTTAAACTTAGCGCTTAATTTTTGTCAAATTATTCGTTCGAATATTGACAAATACTAGTATAGAATCTGGATTGTTAAAAAGCGTTTTCAAAAGTGAACATTAACAAGATCTAAAAAAAATTGATGTGACTGTGGCTACTTCGTGGAGTCAAACGCTGATCACTTATTTATACAATTTGAGACGCTAACACTGAGAGTTTTGGTTCACGATCAACCACCTGTAAGACTGAGGTATTTATACTGAGTAATTACTGAGTAGTAGTCAGTGTTATATCTGTCTATTTCTTAGTGCTGGTCGAAATCAAATCGTAATGGGAACATTTATCAAATGTACTGGACTTCATCTAAATGTCTTTGATGTGAGTGGGAACCGATGCGTACACTTTAGAATATGGTTAAAATAAAAGATCACCGTAGTTTGACCATCAAAGACAAAATTCTCTTAATTATACGGAAATTTATAGAAAGTTTTCATTTTATAAAATCCAAACATATTCGTTGAATAAATACCCTTCTTGAAGTTCTTTAACGAAATGTGTGAAAATCTTAAATTATAAATCAAACGATTCTTAGTTTTCGTGGTAACACCTTAATAATATGCATGAACTTAATGTACATTTGTTAGTTTGGAAGGTTTTATGACATTACTCGATTTTTAGGAGTTAAACAGAGAGGCTTTAGACCTTTAGTAAACATTTTGCCTGTAAACTAGTGAGTTGGCATCCAATTACTTAGATTCACAAGCATTCAGTTTGTGTTACTGCGTCTCTATCATGCATCAACATTATTTATATTTGTCTCATTCCCGATAGGGCTAGACTACTTTGGTCATACAGGAACTTCCCTTCCAAAGTTAAACGGATTCTATTTCGTAACAGCTGTTCAGTGATTTTCAATTTTCAGCTTTTGTCTTTCTGAAGTCATTCTGCTATGTAAAGCATACAAAGTATGATTATTTACCTCCTTAGTTTATGTAATCATCATTGTCATTTTCAAAGTTGATTTCATTTACGTAAATTCGATATATATCTTCAGATAGCTATAACGCTGAAGTAATGAATGTACCTTGACGCAAATAGAGTATTATCAGTCAGAAGTAAAGGAAACTACATCTAAAAAGTGGTAGATTACAAAGTTCTCCATTATATCATTCCTTTATTTGAGTGAATTAAAGTTAAGTAATCATATTAGGCAATAATTCGTTTTTTATTACAATCATCAGAGAATTAGTTTTAAATGACATGATGTTCAATATCAACAATAAAATTTGTATATAATGTAATAATTATTTATTTATTGCCTTTTATACCTTTCAGTATAGATCTCAAATGAATGTTTACTGAAGATCTTTATACAAATAGATTTATACGAAAGGCAACATTTAACATCTGATAGATGTTAAATATTTGAAAACAGAAAGAACCAACCAAAAAAGAAAGATTAGGAATAGTAATATTCCGAAAGAACTGTCAACTATACAGAATAAATGCAATATCACAGATATGTTTGTAAGATAATGTAGATTAAGTGAATTAAAAGAAAATGAATCAATAAATTAAGATTTTTATATACAACTTAAAGTGAATAGTTTTATGAATTCATGGTTTGAATAGCATAATTTACATTCCATTAGAAAAGAAAAGAACAAAAGAATAAGAATTATCACATAGAATATTTATAGTATAGTTTGTATTCATGGTTAAACTTCAATAAATGAATGGTATACATACTTCATTCATTACGTAACAACTAAGAACTGAATAAAATCCACATTATTTGATTGATTTTAAAATGTAAGAGTGTTCATAAGGAAGATCTATCAATTTTTGTCACATTTCTTGTATTCTCCTTACTCCGACTTTTAACATGTATATGGCTTGGCAATTCGGATATCAAACACAAAAGACATAAATAAAAAGTCATATTCCATTAACAAAAAGGAATACAGGTGAGTGATATAAAGAAATGCTGTAAGATAAGTGCCAAAAAGCCTCAAAGTACATATATATAGAAAATAAGTGAGATTTAGTTTGCAATTTACACAGTTGTATCTCTAAATTATTGTTTTATAACTGATCATACATTTAAAATTTGGTAATTTAATATAATTCTTATTAAAGCCAGATAGACTGCATAGTGGATTATCTCTTTGACTGTTTGGCGTACGTCTACAAAATAAAAAAAATAATAAACGTAATACATTGTCAGAAAATAAGGATCGTATCAGTGGGAAAGAATAAAGAATAGCAATGATTCTTATACAACACATAACAAATGTTTTCATAGTTTCAAGAGCAATATACATTGAAAATAATCCCCTCAAATGTGAAATTAATAAATAAAATGTAATAGTTTAATTATTTAGTCAATTAAAGCTAGACCACCATGAAAAACTTAGAAGCACTGAACGGCCATTTTGGCCTAGTATGGGACTACTCAGCATTAAGCATCTACAATCTCGCTCGCAGCGTTCGAACCCAAAACCTATCGGTCTCTTGCGCAAATGCCTAATCTCTAAACCACTGAGCCGGAATCCAATAGTGTTAATGTCTGTTTTCAACCAATCCACGAGCGGGATTGTATATGCGCACTGACGAGAAGTCCCATACTGGGACAAAACGGTGGTGCAGTGCTTCCAGGTTTTCCATAATGGTCTAGCTTCAATTGATTCATGAATTCAAGCTTGAAAATTCGATTGACATTTAGTCAGTCTTAGATTAAATGATTAATGACAGTTTGGATCATTATAATTTTTAACTTCAAATTAGTGACTGCGTTTAAAACTTTTTATTATTAATCTATACAATAATCCGCACACCGTCTAGTTTGCAAGCAATTTTTTTGTTACTCATTATTGTATAAATGCACATTTAAGTCATTTTCATGTTATCTGACATTTTTTGAAGTTTTTTTTATCGTCACCTGTTTTGCTTCGTTTTTTACATTAAGTCTAATCTTTATCTCACATGGTAACCTATTTTTTTCACAACCTTCAATCTAGGTGATTAAAAAGTTGATTCCGAAACACAGTTATCAAATAAGTATGATGACATCATCATTGTTCTTTTGCACTGAAAAACTCAACGAAATACATATTTCAGGAAAATCATGAAAAACAAATAACAACAAATGAGACAACAACAACATAATATGCATATGTGCAAAGAGTAGATGCATTATCATATTTTTCGTGGACATATTCAGAAACATTTGGTAATGTTAATCGGCAGGTCGATTAACCATCATATCTCAAATAGCATTACATACTAACTTCATTCTTAATACTCACATTATTAATTCCAGAAATCATCTTTCTTCGTTTGACCTTTATTGACTCAATACAAACTATGCTGAGTGGAGATCAAATATCATACTCTAGTCATGTCACCATTTACTATATTCTCAAAATGATTATAAAAAGTAAAGTGAGGCTAAACGTGTTAACTCGAATCCAACGCGGATAATCAAAAATGGGATACTGGAAAATGCATTAAATTAATGTATTTTTACTGGTTAATGTAGTCAAAACAAGAACACCGATATTATATAATAGTACTGTATTTCTTTCTACTTCTAATAAAACTAACATATTAAAAAAAGGACTTTTTCTAAGGATAATATGTGCAGGTAAATATAAACTAAATGTGATCTCTTGGTTTATAAAGACTGAAATCATAAAACGTTTGAAAGAAAAACTTCAAAATCAACAAATTCATCAGTATAAGGTTGTGGAGATTATTGAGTTTCTGATTGAGATCATGAACTGAATGATGTTAGATCACCACTGAAAAGCCGGAAACACCGTTTTGTCCTATTGTGTGACTCCTCAGCAGTACGTTCGCGTGCCAGATCGAAGGCACTGGATTCGAATCTCGTAAGCCGGATCGTGGATACGCATTGCTAAGGAGACCGACAATAGTGCTTACAAGTTTTTAATGGTGGCCTAACATCAATCGATTCAGGATCTCAATCAAAATAACAAAATTGTTTCAACAAACCACAGCTTTTTAGTACACAAAAAAGCTTATTACAATGATACTTAATATCCCCTTTTTCTAGTTTTATCTACTCAATTTATATAAAATGACATACGGATGTATAATATCATGTCAGTGTTGAATAAGCGAATGCAAAGAAATTTAACAAACAGGTAATATGATTAATATGAATTGCATAGGATAATTCATTTCATACTAACTTCATCTAAAAAACTGAATACAAATATCTGCTAAATACACAAACGAATTAGAAATTAAGAATAACATAACAAAACACAATTACAAATAAAAACTACATACAACACATTTGATCAGCTTCACTATATACTTTGAATAAAAATGTATGAATATATAATTAGGTATTAGATATAATAATAAAATATAAATGTATTTTGCCTTACTTGATGAACCATTTTCTAATGAACTTCGGAATTCTTTTGAAGAATCAATTAATTTCCCATTTTCTTTGAATATATTTGAATCTTCAGGAGTTTCAAAAACTAGATAAACTTCTTTACTAGATCCTAAATATTGTGTTGATGGTTTCGATTGGTGTAAATCTTTTGAATTCATTGATTGAAAAGAGAGAAGACTTGGCTTCATATCTATTTTCTGCATATGACCCACATTATTATTATTATTAATTTTAGACTTTATATATATTTTATCATTATTTGGCATATAATGCTCTCCAGTCATTGCTTGTAAACTAACCACATATAATGTATTTGGTAGAAGATTATCCAATACTATAGATGTTTCACTCTGTTCAGAAGAAATAATTAAATTGAAATTATTCAATAACATTATACATTGGTTTATGAATATAAACAACTCTATGTTATGAATTATTTATTCATTTCTTTTCATTGTTTTTGTTGTTACTGTTGAGAATTCTCCTATTTAAACATTAGATTTAATGAAATTTCACACCTACATGTCACTTATCACATACACTAGATCTGAAAAGAAAAATTAACTCGCTAGTTAACTTCAATTTCATAAATAATTCAATGATATTTTTCATAGATTTGATTCCCTTGATAATTTTTCAACAGAATAAGAACAATATAAATTATAAAATGAAATGAAATGTATATTTCCATAACAATATCCTTGTAAACTATTCAAATAATTGTATTGGTTAAACTCCATTGAACTGATGTCCAAAATGTTTTGTTCATTTTAACATGCTAAATATGATATCTAGTAAATAATAACCAGTGATAATGATTAATTAAACATCTTAATCATTCCTATTTGTTATAAAGAACAAAATCGTACTTACGTTTCGTAATACTTTTGTTTCAGCTCTTGTATGATCAATTCGAGGTCGAAGATTTGGCCATGATTTCCATACAACTGATTTCATTGCAGTATCTCGGCTTGGTCCCCAGATAATTCTGAAAAATGAAAGTAGATCAATTAGAAATAAATCAGTTTTGTATTTATCATCTTTATGTCTAGTTAAATGTCGCTTATAATTGACTACACTATTAACGAGATAATGTAATCTGTTTTTTTTAAAAAACCCGTTAGTTAAAGCTGACAATGCAAAAATAGTTGTCATACTTGAAACGGCCGATTTCACATTTATACATCATTTAATCAAATGTCTGTCATTAACAATCATTTATCTAATACATTATCAATTCATTTCAAGCCTAAAATAATGAATGTATAATCATGTCTATTTGATAATTGAGCGAAATGTCAAAAAAAATGTTATTGTGAATTTATGTTTATTTTTTGTTGTTGTCAGGACGTCTACAATGAAAAATAACATCTCATACAGTCTATCTTTATTGTGATAAGTCAGACAATTGAATTAGTGTCTTAATATTATACTTATAGCTTGTAAGGGTTACGGCGATTCCAGGTAACTATGATTAAATGAGATAACAAAAAATATTTGTAACCAGGTGGTTTGTGAAAATCAGGTCCAGTTTTAAAATTCGTATCAAGGAATAACTTCAGATATAGAACTATTGTATAATAGATACCACTCCTTCAGTGCATGACCACACAGTACTACAAACCTAATTCCCCACACGCTTCAGCTGGAGGATATATTCTATAAAATCAAAAGTGAGGCTAAATTATGTAGAAATTCTTAGATATATTTAAACATTTTAAGAGTATAACTGATCTGTCTCTTATTGGTATATATGCATCCTGTGCGTAAGATTCAAACGAACAATACAAAACGACTTAAAACTTCACCCTATTTCACAAGCTAGCGACTATCAGTACTAAGTGGATAATGGGATGACGTTTGAAGCGAACGGTATTGAGTTGGAGTCACGAAGTGAACATCAACTGTTGGATGTATGCATATCCAGATGATGAGTCCCGAATGAAACGAAACGCGCATTCTGGATTCCACTGTTAGCCTATAATGCTTTTGACTTAAATCAATATTGAGGCAATCCAAACAGTATGCACATATGCTAATAGAAGACTGATCAATGGCAATCCTGAACATCAATGGGAAGATTCAAACAAACAATACAAAATGAATTCTATGAGTATGTTGAAATTTGTTTTAGATTAAGAATAATTTATGTGTTACGTAAATCAATGAAACCTAGGCGTTTTAGCTAAAAAAAATGTCTCAAAAATCTCACCTGTGGTGCACTGGGAAAATAATTTTACTAGTCTTGTCACTGTAGATTTCTTGAGTAGTTAATTGTTGATAACTCCCAGATCTTGATACAAGAGCACCTGACTTCCAAGATATATTATAACTGATCGTTGGCGTTACCGATATTTGCTTATATGATAAATTTTTTGGTTCTGTTATAATATCTAAAACTGAGTTATAGAAATAGTAATTATGAGCAATCAACCTAAATATTATCATATTTCTGGAACATTTACAAATGAACCACGATAAAAATATTAGGAGTGATGAGATATAGTATTTCTTACCCATTTGAGATTTTGTCATCTTCTGAAAGTCTAGATCTCAACAGTCAACATCTGAATGTTAGAAAAGTCTGTATCTTTCACTAAAGTTTTCATGCTAATTGATACTTATCTTGTTTTCCATACGTAACGTCCAGAAAAATAAATACTACTATGAAAAAAAACTTTATTTGTCTAACTTCATTAACTTACACTCAGACAAAGACATATATTACCACAAATACTTTTTCTGAAGTTTATAAGATTTACATCACATGTGAATCATGCTGATGTACTTTTGAATCATAAACAGTAAATACTTGTTTGTAGAATGCACACCTTTCATTAAACAAACTGATTTTATTTTATGGGTATAGTAAGACTTTAGGTGGAACATATCACATTCTATAGAAGAGTTTAGATAACTTGACCTATGACAAAATAAAAACGTTTTATTTTGTCCAGTGAACATATCACTTATTCACTGCCTTTTTATCTAACGTTCTCTACAGAATTTTATCATAATATAACTGTTTGCGCTAAGGAAAACAAGTTCAGCTGAACAAATGTTTAACCGGATCTTGCCTCAAGAATGTAACAATGTGAATTATATTTTTTTACAGTATCCCAATTAGTAGAAAAGTTGAAATTCAGATGAATAAAGCACTTCTTAAGGTGTAATTAGCATTCTTTGAATTGATTCACTTCATCAGATTAATTATCTGTTACATACAAATAAGTCTAATCATGCTGATGTCACTATATCCAGGTTAAAGTTAATTCTCTTTAAAATATGCATGTTTGTATTCAAGTTTATAGCGAATAAATGTGATGTTTTTATTGTAATCAAATAATATAGATTGGTTATGTGTTAAGAGCATGATCTTCAATAGAATAAATGTAACATTTTGGGATGTAATTTCCAAGTTAATCGTTTCATTTAGTACAGTGAATACATTTCACCTTCACTAGATACATAAGTTTTAATCATAATATTACTACTGCTTAGGTATATAAGGTGTAAATCAATTTGTAGCGCATCATTCTCCTGAATTTCGCATGCTTTCTTTCTCGCTTCTAATTGCTTCGTTTTTGGCTTTTTCATCCATATTTTATTGCGTTATGAAAGTACTTTTTAGTTCATTTACTTTAAAACTTATTATAGATCTTGTAATTTAACATGATATCCTCTTTAGAGATTATTTAAGGCTGAATGCTAGAAAGAGTCAGTTGCTCTTACGCTAACTATTAAATGGTGTTCAAGACCATATTATAAGGGCTTCATACTGTATCATTCGTAAAGTAATGACTTTCCAACCAGTTATTCCAGTATAAATCCAAAATGATAACTGAATCTCTGTAGATGTGTACGCTGGCTAATTTTATCTAGACTGTACAATTAAAACAAGCAACGGAGCCTCAATGAAGAGATACTCTTTTTATGAATTACCAAGTGGATGTTTTTCGCTCATTTAAGAAAATATAAGTCTTGCTAAAAGTTTGCTAAATATACAAGGCGTAAATGACCAACTTTAGGCAGACTACAGTAATTTACGCATTCAGCTGCTTTTGATATGTTCTGGACTCATTATAAGCTGAAAAGGTAGAAATGAATATAAAAGATAACTCACTATCAACTAACCTTGTGTAGTACCTAAACACTTTGGTTTTTTAATCCATGAAGCTAATTTGACTGTGGAACATGCTGGTGTACACAACCATGCAGAAAGTTCAACATTATACCCAGATGTATAGACAGGGTGAATTTTTTTGTCCGATCGTTTAGATGATTCTTGTTTTTCAGACAATAATTCAATTAGATAACGACAATTAAAGTTAAGATTCGTTAATTGTAATGTTGCATGTCTTAAAATGGGCTTTTTGAATCTTTTACCGTCAACATGATTGTTGACTTCATGTTTTACTGGATTCAATAAAATATATTTTTCATTTGAATTCAGTGATTCTTTACGCCGTCCAGCATTTTCTATTTGAGAATATGAAGGTTTAGTAAATTGATCAATATTATTGGCTATTAAAGCTTCTGATTGAAAGGAATTTGTTTCATCTATATTATTACCAGTGACAATGACAGTTTCAATGCAAACTTGTGGCGTCCAACGAACAATTAATGGACGTGAACTCACTAAAATAAATAAGTTAACTTGAATTAAAACAGTAGTATGAGGTAATATTTAAAATGTCAGAACCATTTTCTTCTCTTAGATTCGGAAAACAACAATAGTGTACATTAGTATATCATGAATGGATGATTGAGATTGAATGAAGAACATTGATTCTGAATGAATAATAAATATCAACTTATTTTCAGAAAGGGGTTTTTTATGGATATTATAGTAATGTAATAGTTGGGTTCATGAGTCAACTGAAGCTGGACCACCATGGAAAACTTGGAAGCATTGAACGACCGTTGCTTCCTAGTACGGGACTCCTGAACAGTGCTCATTAATGGTCCGCCCGGCGGGATTCGAAACCAGTCTCGCGCGCGAGCTCTTAACCTTAAGACCACTGAGCCGGAATCCAATGGTGTTAATGTCTAATTTTCAACAAATCCACGAAATTGCACCACCGTCTACTGCTGTTTTCAATGAGTTATCATCTCAAAACAAACATGGTTGAAATCCACTGGTCACTGTTTCTCACTAGAATTATTTTCTCATATAGGCAAAAATGAACTTATAATACGTTTCTTTAAGCTAATAGATTTATTAACATAGACATAAATCCACAAAAAACATATTTACACACTGAACCAGATCCTATTAGTACAGCAATATCATTAATAAACTAGTTTGAATATATTGTTTGTTCTTTTCTTTATTTGATATTTTGAAAGCCTGAAGAATTTTATTTGTTTTCCAAAAAAACACTTATTTCGATATTACAAATATAACATTTATCATGATGAACTCTCCTCTTCTTAAGGATGATCTATAAGACATAGTAGTATAAGTTTATATTTCCAAAAATGTTAGTAAAGACTTTTAAATTATGGTAAAGACTCAATAATTTTAATGATTTTAACATAGTAAACTATCATTCATTTTTATTTTATCAAAGATAATTATGAACTGAGATTGATATCATGAATGAATCAATGTTGGATCATCATTGAAATCCTGGAATTTCTAATGAAAAGCCGTAACCAATGGAGTTCGTTCATGTCTATTATGAGTCAGTTACTCTCTGAAGAAAATGGTGGATTGTCGCGCAATATAAATGATATGTTGAGGTTAGACATTAACACTGTCGGATGTCGGCTCAGTGTTGTAGAGGTAAAGCGTTCGTGTGCAAAGCCAAAAGTTCTAGGTTCGAATCCTTTTTGCGCACTGCTGAGGAGTCTCATAATGGGACGAAGCGACCGTCCAGTGCTTCCAGGTTTTCAATGGTGATCTGACATTGATCCTTTTATGATAATAATCTAAGCTCATCAATCTCCACAATACTTTAATGATAATTATGAACCCATTTGAGTTAACACAAACGTACAAAAGCGATGATAAATGACTTACATTGAAATATAATTTAATTATTTTTTACACTATATCTTATCTGTACCAAAATCTTTAAGCAAAGTAAATAATAATTATTAACCATCAGAAGAAGGGAAATACACACATGGCGTGATTAGGTAATCGGTGATAATAGAATAATTAATATTTCATATAACCATTAAATAAGCGTACTATATAGAAACATTGGTATAACCTTTAATGCAATCGTTTTAAAAATAAGCCTTAAATGTAGTTAATTGCTTAATTAATTAAACATGATTTTTGATTGGTTGTTTACATACAGTATCATAACTAAATGAAATATAACAGATAGATGTTTCCAATGGAAATTAATAGAATGTATTAATACTGTCAAAGATTTATGTAAACATGAAGATAAATTGGATTGTCATATTAAAAGGATAGTTAGAATGTCCCAGTTCTAATAGTTGAATTCATGAGTCGATCGAAGGTAGACCACCATTGAAATTTGGAAGCATTGGACGGCCATGTCATCCTAATGTGAGACTCCTCAATAATTAATATCCATAATCCCACGCGTAGAACTCTAACCCAGTACCTTCGATCGTGAATGCTCACTAGTGATGAGTCCTATACTTGAAGGAAACGGCTGTACAGTGCATCTAGGTTTTTTTATAGTAATCTAACTATTAAAACATTATTACAATCTTTACAAATTTCCATTCTGATAATAATTATCTTAATAATTTTACTTACTTGTTTGTTGATTTAACTCTGTTTTAGATGTTTGTTTTAAATCATATTCATATATTTTGAGTTCAGTTATTAAACCATGTCCATCAAAGACAGCTACATCAGTTTCCATTGATAATTCTGCAGTTTTAATATTTATATGATTAATTGATGAATCAGATGGTAATGAACTTTTAAATACTAAACTTTTACTAGTTCCATTACAAACAAAAGAAACATCCGATTTACCTATACAATGATCAATAATAAAAGGTAATAATATTAAATAGAGTCCAAATATTTAAATTATGGTTTATTACATAAATCTATTGTTCGTTAAGTATACTATCCTTTTTATACAGTAAGCTATTCATTCAGACATGGTAACATATTTAGAGTGTATGACTGTTATTAGGTGCAAAATTATAAACTTGAATCATATAAATTTAACTGAAGACAATAAGAGAAACAGTAGATTGATCTTCAAATTTTACATCTTCGTCTTCAATTAAATATATTACTGAAGTCAGTATATTAGATCTTAATAATTTTAGTAGTACAGTGTAAAAGGTCATTTTTCCAACTATTCATGGACTTAAATTTATTCCAGATTATCATTGAACATCTATGTGTTGTAGTCTTTTCATAAAATCACTTCATAGAAGTAATTTAATTAACAAGAAGCTAGTGGTTATATTTAAGATGGGATTATATTATGGACATAGTCACAAACTAAAGAAACCAATCTAATGGCTAACACAGTGTTACTTCAACCTATATACTATTTACAAACAATTTAAGAAATACTCTACTTTTAGTAAGGACAATGAACTACAAAGTTCTCTTTTAAATGGAAAAACGAAAGAAAGAGTAACCGAATGGATATTTATAGAAATAATGAAATATTTAATTACAGTCAATTAATTAGAACCTTAGATAAGATGTAAAATGCAGTGGAAAGCTTGGAATTTCATTTACTTTTCCCTACTCCAACATGTACAAACGGGTATAACTAATTCAGCATTGTTGTCTGAATCCTAAACATGTAGTCCGTGAGTGTTTACTCAAAGTTTTTTTCAATTTTATGCATAGCTCATATATTATAATAAAACAGAGGGTACATGACACGTTTGAACAAAAAAATGTACAAAACCCGTACATCATGAAATAAATCACTCATTTAAGAATGGCTAACAGGTTAATTGTATTTTTGTGTAGACGCTTTTAATGCAATCTTCAGTCAACATACTAAACAAAATGGTCCAAATAATGCAGCGGAATCCATGAATCTAGTAGCCCGCCAAATATAGAATTTGGCTAATTATAAACATCACTTGAAAATAATATTTCAGGCTTGTTGTCACAAAATATTGGTAAAACATCTTGAAGAATGCTTCAAATCAATATTTCATCCTACAGTTTGTCAAGTTAATGAAAAAACTAAACATCTACTAGTGAATTTCTAATGCTTTATAGGGTCAGACAACGATACATATATTATAAGACTAAAATTTTGATATGAATACCAATTTTCTGAGTTGCGAAGACCTACCTGAGTTGTGGCTAAGGTGGTCTTCAGAGTATGACTCATCATAATGGTTCAAATACTTCTTGTTTTTTAGATGTTGAACAGTGTTTGCATCAATTTTCTTTAAGTTGGCAATTAGGGAATCTTCTCTATGATCTTGGATTGAATCTACGTTTGGAGTATGAATAAACAAAGTATTTGGTTGTGATCTAAGTTGAGTTGAACCCCATTCACTCATTGCAATTACCTGAAAAATAATTTGAATTACACGAAATAAAAGTCAATACATATTGGTTCCATATTAGAAATCCGTTTGACTTGAAAAAAGGAAATCAAGCTATCTAATTAACACTAGATTTATGATCGTTAAACATTCAACATTCATGTAAACACCTTTTTTTCATATTTTTTTATAATCAGCCGATTGTGTATCCTATCATTAGTTATTAAATTTTGGAGACTAATTTCATATCCATTATACAGTTATGTTCAAAAAAGATCGTACATGATTACTTTAAAAACAAAGAATGTTTCATATATAAAGTGGAGTATAATTTCATAGAAGAATATATCAAGAGTATACTTTCTTCATAATTAGCTAATATTGATACAATATATCTCAAAATTTGTTTTATTTTAACTTCTTCAAAGATGTTTTTTAAAATACCATGTTATAAAAACGTTTACAATCTCTTCAATTTTAACTGTTCAAATGATAGTTATAGCTAAATGTATGCTCTGAAAAGTTCTTACCTCAATTCGATACAGTACTCCAGGATAAAGATTTGTCAGCTGATAATTTGTTTGAGACTAAAGAAGAAGAATTTTTATTAAAAAAACTCAGCGATTATTCAAGAGAGTAATGAAGTCTATTTCAATATGATTAACAAAATATAAAGTGGGTAAATAGAGCATTATCTTTTCCACAGGATTCTATATTTCTCATGTATTGTATTTATTAAAGTTCAAGATTTTAGATATGATAATAAGATGAATGATTCTTAGGTGGTGGTTGGAGGTAGTCGACAGTAAACCCTGGACTCGGGTTTCGTGCTACTTTGCATTCGTCAGCAAGGTGTACCTGTAATCTTTAGGGAACTGGTGCTCCCTGGTGGATTCGATCTCGTGTCACTCAGCTTCACAGTCAGAGCCGTTACCACTGAGCTATCCGGGCCGCGACTGACCTCCTATAGGACTGAGATGTAATCACAATTGATTGATCACTGGGTGGTGACCAATGTCATGCGTGTCAAGTCCTTATTTAGTGCAGATCGAATGCTATCGACCATGTTGAAATGTGGCCAACAGTCTAGGTGTCTCGACATTGCGGGCACTATATATTGAGATTGGATAGTGGTTGGAGGTAGTCGACAGGAAACCCTGGACCCTGATTCTATGAAATTAGTTACAAACATAATTTCACTTGCAAATTTATTATTTATTTTATCACATAAATCACATTAGTCAAATAGGTGGAAACAATCTCATCAGTTGGATAGATTAATCATATGTTTATTTATCAATAAAATATTTATTCATTTAGAAATACTGTGTGCCATTGATTTTATAGTGGTGTGTGCTACTGATTTCTGTAGATATAAGTAGTATGTATCATCAATCAAAAGTCGAATACTTGGAAGCAGAAGGTTAAGAAGACCGAAGAAAAGAGAATGAGAATAATGAATGATTATTGTGGAAATGAAGGAACAATGAAGTCTGGGACAATTAATGAATATTTTGCAAATGAAGTATTAGAGTATGGTTTTTCTATTTAATCAGGTAACTCTGTAATTCTGTACCAAATATATGATCAACTGTGTTCTACTTCACTACAGTGTGTTTCCTATGATTCCGGTAAAGTCACCTAAATGTTTAATATTTGACTTCTATGGATCAATTTTTGCTTATAAAATGATTGTGGATAAACTTATCTAAAATGCGGTTTTGATTACTGATTCATCACGGCATTCATGATTCCTAACACACGCCTATTTAGGAATGTCAAACAGCTGTACATAATACTTATCGCCTGTTACTTTTTCCAAGTAATAACTATTATTTAAGTGATACACAGATTAGTATTTTCTTATTTCGATAACCTTAAAGTAACCGCATTATTCAAAATAACTATAAAATGTGATATGTAGTAAACAAATTTGGGGTGAAAGTAAACTTTACAATAGTCAATTCATTTACTTGTCTTTTATCTCTATAGTTTTTGAGAAAAATGATTCTGGTGTATTTTATCGGACATGCAGTAACTTTTTTTCTTATGTAGATGTAATTTCAAGAAAATCAATGTTCCCGTTGTCGTGCAATGAATATATCAGTTACTCTGATGTTAATTGAATCACTCGGAGAATTAAAAGGCTAAAAAGCCTGTATAAGTTCAACAGATTTGTTGCTAATCATTTAGCAATACTGTGACTGAAAAAATTGAAAATCGGAGCCATATATCTATTCTACCATCAACGAAATACTACATTTATAAATATCTATACAACCCCTTAATATAAAACTTTAAATAACGATTAGTTATTTCTGCAAGTCATTATATATGGTCTAACAAGAAAACTAGTTCTCATGTATCATACTACACCAAAACTATGTAGATCTAACTAGCACACATCAAATTTTGTATACACAGCTTGATATGATTCTAATTTCAATAAAGTAGATATTAAATTAATAGTTTGGGGTTTATTTACCGATCACAGATCGATTTTAATTAGGTTGTTTTAACTACGATTATTTACTTGGTTTAACCGATATCTTAGAATTTATGGTAATATACTAAGTGTAAGGACAATTTGTTTATGAACATATAAAGGGGGTTTCAATTTTCGTATAGCCAAAGCTTCAATAAACCTTAGTATACGTTCTTGAAGGCTTTTGTATAACACTACAAATGCTGATTTGATGTCAACCTTATGACCCGTCTCAATCAAATGTTTCGCAATGGAGGATGATGTCTGTCTATCCTGTGAACTTATTTGGCCATTGGAATTCATTTGTTTCTGCAACCATTTTGGTATGTGTTCACCCACCCTTAATTGCAAATCACGATTGCTCCTTCCTATGTACGTGTTTCCACACATACATGTAAACTGGTACATATATATATTAATATATTACATCAGTATTTTTGTTGATTCTTAATGAATTACATCAACCAACCAAAGTTTATACAATAATGTTAACCTTATTGGTGAATACTATATTATCCAAATAAATTTTGTACATTATACCAATTCATTTATTGTGTTTTTCCTATAATCTGTTTGATTCTTGTTTATCAAATGAATATTTTAACACATTTAACCAAAAATCTTGTCAATAGTGAACTGTCATGAAATAATCTAATACAATGGTGTGTATAGGTGTGTGCGTTAAAAGTTTCATTTTACATTTATCTACACTAAATACGTAATTTGTAGTTGGGATATATCTATATGAAATAAAACAATACGTTAGTCTGGTGAGCAAAAAAAATGGATAAAAGTATCCAAGTGGTCATTATACTGAATTATTAGTATTAAGTAACTAATTTTAGTTTAAAAAAAATTTTTTTTGTTTTACTCTGTCTAATAATTTTGATATGAACATCACTCTCACCTATCAACATCAATAATTTATATGAATCAATAATGAAATTCGTAATGTTAACTTACCGATGGAACAGTATGTACAAATTGAGTAGGATATTCAGTGAATTTATGATTATTATCTATATTTGCAGAATCAGGACCCCAAGAGATCTATTGAATAATGATAAATAATATATATATATATATATATATAAATTATATTGAAATCTATTTCTATATGACGTAAAATTTGATATCAGAAATACTTTAAAGTTAAATAATCTTGTATGTTCAAAATAAAACAACAATAGCTTCATGAATGATGGAGGGCTAGGCTGAAGAGTTGTTAATTGTACAGGTGTAGATGGAGTGTCAAAACCAAGAGAACCTCATTGATTTACTGCTGCCACTTGAAATTGATACCACCGAAATATTTCATTGAGATATATGAATAGTTTATTGTATGATCAAATATAAAATATCAATAAATGGATAATCCATAGAACTACATTACTTATATCTATTTGTCATGAATTAAACGTAGGATTGATGTAAATGTTCGGAAGGAATTTTAAGAAAAACATTATCTCTTATGATTGACAAAACAGTAATATTCTTAAATCAGAACAATTTGCAAGCAAATTATCATGAACATTTCTATGAAAGAATCTTCTTGAATAATCGGTTTACTCAAAGCTTACATTATGTGGACAGTTGTAAAATGTAAATATTGATTTTTGGAAGATTTAGAAATAGAATATAAGAGTCATATTTAAAGTATGATAACGGTAAAGAATAAGCTTAAATATGATAAAACTATGGTTTTATTTTGCTAAGGAAAAATTGAAAGCTAATGGATATTGTGAACTCTCTTATGAATTACTATTACCTTTTTTTAAACAATAATGTGCTTGATACAAACTTTAGATAATAACGGAACGATTATATTATTTGAAGCTTTCTCATTTTCAAAAATTTCAAATGCAGTTTCTGGAACAGATTGTGGAAAATTAAGTTTCTTTTATTAATCTTAATGTCTAAAAATGAAAATCATGAAACCCTATGAAATTACTCAAGTAAATTGTGGTGAATATATGACTCGGTATTTTATAATAATTAGAGATTAGTTAATTCAAACAACATTAATAATGGTTATTAAGAGCATAAACCTAAGAGCTCTAGACAGTTTTTACGTCCTAATGTTGAGATCATGAACAGCTTTCCAGCACTTCTAGGTTTTGAATAGTTATTTGATTTGGGCTAGTTTATACTCTTAATTATATTCAATAACCTCCCCAAACCACCAAACTGACAATATTGGTAATGTTAATCGCTCAAAATATTAGCCTCAGTAAACTCTGTTACCATATATTTTAATCATAAAACTAATCTGTCAACAATTGTTGATTAATTATTTCTGTTATTTGTTGTATAGTAACATAACTTTAAAACTTAATTGTGCTGAATGATTCAGTAAAAGCACTTACCCTATACTCAGTAACTGGTAATATGGTAGTTGCTGGACTGTTCCAGTGAATCTGAACTCTTATTTTTCCATTAGCTTGTAGTGTTAACAATTCGTCGGCCAAGTCTCTTGGAGGCGATGGAGGGCTAGGTTGAAGAGTTGTTAATTGTACAGGTGGAGATGGAGTGTCAAAACCAAGAGAACCCCATTGATTTACTGCTGCCACTTGAAACTGATACCACCAACCAACAGCAGGATCACTTAGTTGGGCACCTTTTAATGTAGACTAACACAAAAAAAATGTTTACATTATTATGATAGTAAACGTATTATCAAAATCCTACGCATTCAAGCATTATTCAATGATTCATGAAATATAAGGAAATATTTGCCATAAACGGTGATACTACTTTTCATTTATGTTGGCTTACCAAACTCTTTATCGCACCATAATTTTCATCAGGTTTTCATTAAATTGGATTCATTTATTAAGGAATACTTCCAGTGTATCAATAACGAACAAACCAAGTAAAAATTTCAAAGCTCATAATATTTAGAATGGAGTTTATTCCTCTAATTGCATTTTTCATGAATTTAATTACTTTTGTAGGTAAGCAACCGTTTTTTAAATAATCTAATAGCTTAAATAATTGGCTAACTAATTATTTCTAGGAAGAAAAAAATAGGTAAATCTAGAGACTGCTTTGTTCAAATCACAATCTTTTACACATAGAAAAAAGGCTTATTTCCTCAACAAAACCAAAAATACGTAGACTAATGAATACTTGAAAATTTTAGTGTTAATAATTCTGAAGCGCTATTCTTTATTAGTAGCCTTGAAAAAAATGCAAAAAAATATCTATAGCAATTATCAGGACTAAATTACATTATATACAAAAATAGATAGTGGTTAGCAATGGAATCCAAGATGCGCGTTTCATCCTATTTGGTGATTTGTCATCTGGATGTACTTGCATATCAGAGTTGATGTTCACTCTGAAACTCGAAATCAGTAATATTCACTTCAAATGTCTTCACCTTATTCACTTAGCTGTTTGTGAACTAAGACAATATCGAGATAAGACGCATAGGATGTACATATGATAATAAGAGACTGATCAATTGCAGTCCTAAACATCAATGGGAAACTTCAAGTAAACAATACCGAGTGAATTAAATCACATTGTTAAAAGTTATGTCCTTCTTTCATAAATACTGGTAAGTTGTCTGACGAATTTTAATTTCATGACCATCATGATGGTTTAACATAACCAGTCCCTAAATATGGACTATTTTTTCTGGTTCATTAAAATAAACGAAAGTTAGTAGCAAAGAACTATTAGAAATATAAAATATTATGATAGTATCATGATATCATATTACATTATAGTCCTTTAGTGTAATCGTATATTTAATAACAAACATGTTTTTTTCCAGTAGTTTATGAATATATAATAAATTTTAAACGTTGGTCATTAATTAAACGATCACAAGCAGTTTCCCAGAAGGTATCTTAATACATCTGACAATCGTGTTTCAAGGTAATTGGTATTCTTCAAGATTGCTATGTGAGCATATGTGAGAATTAATTAGTCAATCATGACGTTGATTCTTAGCAAGGATGTTAAAACAAAACTTTTACTGAACTTCTTAACTACGGTATTCTTTATCGCCTGAAAACCAACCTACTTAGTATATATATATATATATATATATATATATATATATATATATATATATATATATATATATATATATATATATATATATATAGAATATATTTATTGAATCAAAATCTTTCAACAGTAATAAATTCTTGGCTTATCTTACAAGATCCTGGTTAAGATGAAAAAAAGGCAGTGTTCATATAGATCACATTGGGAAGAACTGTAACATATCTTTTCTCCTCTATACAATTAATTACCAATCCACTGATTTACTTTGAAATAAACTAATACATTTATTTCAAGATATCACAATCATTTGACATATATCAAACGAAAATGGGGTGGGTGTGGAGGGGGGGAGGGAATAATTTCATAAGAAAACATGTTCGAAGATAAAAATAAAAAAAAATTGTTTTTTGCATCATAAGTCATTATTGATGTTTATTTCTACTAATTTTTTTCGAAAAAAAAAACAGTTTTACATCAAAACAAGTTTGACAGTTGAATAAAACAAACAAACAAACAAAAGTTAAGATCATGAAATAGATAACTTTTAAGAAAAGGTGAAAAAGATCAAGGTAGATTAGATACAAATGACATTTCAAACAATTTGACACTGATGACAAATTTTTATTGTATACGGGAAAACAATTTTAATGAAAAGAAAAAAAGGAAAGACGGGAAGAAAAAAGGATAATATTGTACATCTCAAATACATTGACAATGATTGCTGCTTTAAATATAATGAAACGTAATGAATCGAAAAGTTGCTTTTCTTCGCTGTTTTCATATAAAATTATCAATTGTGATTTATTACCTATAAATTGATCTTATTATTTAATCTAATTAAATATTTTTGTATCTTAGCAAAATATATAAATGATAGGAGGTGATACTGTTTATTATTGCTAATATTTTTTTGTTTGCAAATCTATTGATAAAACATCTACGTAAAATTTATCTTAATTCTTGTGAATTGGGAGATTGTTTATGAATATAGTGATCTTGATTAGTGCTGTTCGAGATAGGAGGGTGGTTTTTACTTCCCGGTTGCCTACAATGTGGAAGGGTTTTTCTGGAGGTACATGAAAAGGAAAATGGGTTAGGGGTGGTTTTAGTAAATTGACAGCGTGGCCGCAGTGCCCAAGGGACAACTGTTTGAGGTTGGTCATGCACAAACGTTTTGTGAGTAATTTTCGTGTTAGCTTCGTACTAATTGGAAGCTTACTGATGGAGATGGAAATTCGTGGGATAAGGCGAGATGTGCATTTTTAGGGTCAACTTTTTCTAACTCCACCCCTCCTTTCAGGAGGACAGCACCGCTCTTATGCTGATTGTCTGAAGAATACACCTTACTGCCGTTACACCTCTGTACAGTCAGGAGTACGACTTCGCCTACGGACTTTAGGTTTGCTGCTTTTAAACTTACCGCTTTTCAACGTGACAATTGTTTTAACCAGTATAGCTCGATTGGTTCACGATAGGCAGACCCGACCACCACGTCAAGATAGCAGCAACGGTGAGGTCTCTTAATTCGACGTGTATAGATGTCAATTTAAGTAATATTTTCTAGAAGTTTTCGTGGCATCTGCTGATTAAATGTGATGATTTCAGACGTTTTATGGCTTCTAAAGAACTTGTTATGGATTCCTCGAGGCATCACAACAAGAAATTTAGGATAACGTGACTTATTTTCAAACAACACTGCTCTGTTAAACAGACGATCGTAATAAAAAATAAAGCGTCAAGAAGTATTTTAAAGAATTGTTCTCTTTCAAATTTATCAACTAAAAAAATTGTTGTTCCAAGTTTTTGATAGGTTCGCTAATCAATAAATTTTGATCATATTCACATCAACATAGGTAACAAACATGAGAAGATTCTACTGACCACTTATCAGACCTTTGCTTTTATGTAAATTTATACAGTTCTTTACTTAAATATGATTTTTGATTGTTCAAATGTTAAGAAATATGATAGGATAGCTTGCTGCATAAACAATAGGATACCAGCAAAACTATAGTTTACGTAGTAATAAAATTGTAAATGCTCATTTACGTTTCACTTTCTAAATCTTTCCAATTAAATAACTTTCATTCAACTGAATACCTATTGTTTTAAATGGTTATTTGTTTCTTCTCTATTTCATCAGATTGCCTTCCTTATTTTACATCGTTAATCATCGTCATCACTATCAAAACAAATAAAATTCTGAAACCATCCGTAAAGTTATATGCAAATCAATGAAATGCCAAAAAAAAATGTAAATTCACTAAAATCATTGACAGAAACATTTGCATATAAGTAGGTTAGGTGATTTCATAGAAAAATATTCTCATAAATAATTTTAATAGAGTTTTAATATAAACTGATTTCACAAACCAGTATGATTAAAAAGGGAACTAAAAGTTACAAAAGGAAATCAATTCTAGTCAAATCCAATATACAGAACTGTTAGGGGTTTTTGTTTACGATAGTAGGTTCGTAAACAACTTATGATATGGATTTTATTTTGTTTTGGATTATCATTACAAAAATTTACTACTGACTAGAGAAAACTATGTATTAAATCCAGATGTTGAAATGGACTGTTTACAACTTGAAAAAAAGTACTTCAAAACTTCAGCATTTCAGTCGTTATGTTTAAACTGATGAAATCATTAAGTGTATCAAGTATTTTTATTTACTTAAATATATTGTGAGTTATTAATGTCTTTATATGTTACTTAACAAATGATCATAGATCGTTCGAAGTTAAACATCAACGCCGTTGGATGACGGACGGCTCAGTGGTATAGAGGTTAAGCGCTCAATTACGAGACGGAACGTTCTGGGTTCAAATCCCATGAGCGAGTTCGTAGATGCGCACTATTGAGGAGTCCCATACTAGGACGAAACGGCCGTCCAGTGTTTCCAGGTTTTCTATAATGGTCTAGCTTTAATTGGCTCATGAACTCAACTACAATTGTTATTATTTAAGAATATTTAATTAAAGGTACTATATGATGTGAAATCATGTTAAAAATCTCTTGCTAAATATTTTCAAACGTCTAAGACTTAAGCTTTATCGACAATAATTAGAAACTTGGTTTTAAAGGAAAATGGATGTTTAGTCGTTAGTCTACCTAGCATAGAATGCCTAAAGTTATAAGTACTTGTTCCTATAATTCTGAGGCAATTATCATGAAGATAGGTCAAGTTAACTCTGTAATCATATGATATGAGTGAATTTAACCGCTAGCACGTTTCAAAAGCATTCAATTTTAAAAAATACATTCACTCACTACAACTAATGTTTTCCAGGGACTTGACATACGGTTATCATATTCTGGGCCAAAATAGGATTTGACTTGTAGTACGTACACGGTTGGTAAGCTGAGATTACTGACTTCTATTTCGTTATTATTCCAAGAAACAAGAAACGATGGCGGATGTTTTTCTTCCAAAATACGTACTGTTGGAATCGGGGGCAAGATTGCTGTCAAATTCAAGCATAAAACAGAAAATAAGTGATATACTCAAATTACAACTGTGATGTACCAAAAATTTCAAGATTTTTTAGTCACTAAATACGAAGTATCATCGAGATTCCTGGTTCCCTTTTAGATCAACGTATTTATAAGTATTGATGTTGGTTATGTTAAATGTCGTTTGTTTTAAACTGAGCTGAATAAAATTTTTATGAATCTCTTAAAAATGTGTAGCTTTGTTAAGGTGGGAAACATGATGAGAAAGTTACGCTCATCAGCTTCAGTCATCCGACTAATCCTTAAAATATAAAACAGAAAAATATTCAAGTTTCATTTTTCGTTTTTCTACGATTGTGCCTAATCGAAGTGTCCCTATATCAACTGTTATCATTCATCCATCTAAATTCTCTGCTCACTTGTATTTATACCGATTTGGATTTAATGCATAAATGTTATACAGATCGTTTTTAGACGATAAACGTCATAATGCCAACACTGATTTTGCAAATTACTCTCATTTAAATAATTATTGATTGAATTCAATCACAGTCCAGGTCAAACAAATACAAACTCTGTTCTATTACGTTCATGTAGTCACTTCTAGACCAATGAGTTGTCTATATTATAAAAGCGAATATAGGTTAGTTGGTTTTAATTAGACTTTTCTTATTTCTGTTTCTAATACTGCGTTTAGATAGAATTTCAGATATAATCTTAAGGTAATATTAATTTATTTTAGAATAAATCTGTCAACTCTCTCATAGTTAAGTGGCAAAATATCATAACTGTCAAACAAAAGGGAGAATATTCTTTGTTTAAATATTATTATGGGCGTACAATAGTAAAATTTCATGACAATTACTTCAACAAACATTTTGAAAGCAATCTATTGTTTTGAGTTATATTGAAACATGCACGAGACCTTATGGCCTCCATATTATAGTTCTCATTATTGCTGATGAAGTTTTGTTCTGTGAGCTTTCATAGTTCTTCTGAACGACATTGTCAGCACAAACTTCAGGTAGAAGTGAAGCGGACGATGTCGTTCGGAAGAACAATGAAAGCTCCACAACCAAACAATCCAGATAAGAGAACAAAAGTCAATCAAAATAATCTTTAAGAGCTACAAATCTTTTCTATTACCTCAATATTTCTAGTAAGGAAAATGGGGCGCCTTTCTTAGATAAAGTTTAACCCCTATTATTATTAATCTTCATTTTTCCACTCAGTTTTAGACGGTTATCTTTTCCTAGATTTGGAAAATGTAAACGTGTGATAAGATTAACTGTTCTGGAAGATATTTCTCATCGATTTCATTACTAAAGTTGTGATTCAATTTGAAAATGAAAACATATGTAGTGACATTTGTTTTAGCAAATTTTGATATAGCTAGCAGTGGAATCTGGGAACACGAAGATTCGAACTCTTAAGGATAAAATTTAATTACAACGGCTTTTAAATTATTTTCACGTTATTATTTTAACCTTCTATATGAAATTACCTTTATTAAATAAGGCTTGTTTGCATTGTGATTGACAGCATTTATCTTGCTTTTGTGGACATTCAGCATCAACTGTGCAGCTGGTTATTTCATTAATTGCACTGCTATGATGTGTAAACCAAGAATTCTCCAGCATATTGGTTTTTAATCCGTTGTCGCTCTCAGGTAAAGAGATGGGTTTGTCCAAATTAAACTGTGAAGATTCGGAAGACTCATGTGATGGATAATTCTGATCATTTTTGACAGATACTAAATTTGGTATGCGGTGAATTGCAAGGCCAATCTGTTCGGGGCAATCACCAGAGCGTCTCTTCAATGCTGCGTCTAAGGATCGGCAACCAGTAAGACATGACCATCCACTAGGTGAATCACCAGACTAAACAATAAAGAAATCATTTACTCTAAGTGTATTGAACTGATTATTAAATTACACAGTTTATGAAACCGTCTACTTATGTTCATCGTTTTAAATTAGTCATTGGAATAATTAGCATTTGCAACCTTTGTGTTAGCACTAGATGGCATGTATTCACTGTGTAATAAGATAATGATTAGTGTAGCGAATGAGAACACAAGTGGAGACAATCGAATGCATTTGAACACAAATAACAGAACATCTTAGTAAAATCTGAAAATTATACGATAAATACTTCATTTGCGAAATGTTAATCAACCGTCTCAAATCTCACTATTCCTTTTGCAAATATCAGTCAATCGTTTCGGAATTCATTGTTCTTTCGTTTCCACATCAATCATTCTTTGTTCTCGTTCTCTTTCCTTTGAATTTTTTATTCTTCTGCCTCCAGACATTTCTTTTCGATTTATGATACTACTTATATCTGTCGGCATCAGTAGTACACACCACATTAGTATCACACAAATAACTACATAAGTGCTTCAACATCTATGCTCATTTTCAGTATTCCGATCAGAAAGTGAGCAAAATGAAATTGAGTCCATATTCAATAAGGTTAAATCTACTTCTGAAATTATTTGACACATTTGGATAAAAAATGAATTTTATTCATATTATCGTAAAAGTAACTAAAAAACACACTAAACCACTTATATTTGACATTACAACTCACCCTTCTAATATCAGATCTAATGAATATATATACACAACGACAAAAAAACTGTTTAAGTTAACTTTCTCACACTGTACTACATAGTTCTTTATATTGTTCACTATAATTAATGGTCCTTATCTTGTAAAGTTTTAATAATAAGTTACAAATAAGTACTATCTTATACTTTTGTTCATTTTATGTTCATAATTAAGATATTTATGGTATTATGAACTTATCAGATTACATTTTCTCCCTATGACTATGTGGTTAGGTTATTATTATTTTATTGAGATCATGAATCGATTGATGTTAGACCGCCATTAAAAACCTGGGAGCAGTGAACGGTCGTTTTGTCCTAAAATATGCGACTCCTCACCATTGCGCATCCGCGATCTTGCTCGCGAACGCTTAACCTCTAGACCACTGAGCCGGTATCCAACGGTGTTAATGTCTAACTTCCATCGATCCACGTACAGATACGCAAATATTCATCCAATGTCTGAGGTAGATACCCTTCTCTACCTATCTATTCATTATCTAATTATTCATTTGGAAATTTATTTGACTAAAACTGCTTCATGTAAATTTGCCTAGGAAATGTTATTTTAGTACGAAAAAAAACGAAAAAACATAATGTGAGATTGGTTACTTAGTATCTGCGAGACTACACTCTGACAGTTTTGCAAGTTTGTTTCGTGTTGTTTATGTTTGTTTGTTTTTTCTAATATTTTCAATCTTCTATTTTGTAAATAGTATTGAATATCGTGTGTAGTTTGTAAAAAATAATACTTTCGATATTACTTATGACAAATTTGTTATTCATCATAATTCAAATCTAAGAACCATTGGATACTAGATAACAAATGTTCCATCGTAAGTTTAGATAATTCATACGTTCAAACTTAGCAATAACCACATGGATATAAGTATAACTAATTCACTAAATTGGCTGAATTTTAAATATTTGAATAATATTATTACTTTCACAAAAGCATGTAATGTTAGGTGTAATATCACACAAAATCTACACCAATCCACAGTTTTCATGAATAGTTTACTGGACAGAACATCGTCAATTTGACTGTTTCTGACATTTACACAATCAAAAAATTAATAAAAAAACAGTGTAAGCTCCAGTTTTATCAACCTAGATTTATTCTTCGTAAAGCTGTAGTATAAGTTTAAAATCAGCCTTTTCAGTTATTACAATCATATCGAAATTCACATTGACAAAGTGAAGTGATTGTTCAGAATGAACATATAAACATTTATATCTATTGTCATCTCATTGTAGAATTTGTCAAGTAGTTTTTGAAAGACAATAAGAAAAATATGACAATGAGTTTAATATTGAATTTTGTCTACCGATAATGGTTACATTTGTAACGAAATATGGCAGTAAAAATCTTGTGCTTTACATAACAACACAAAAACGTCAGATGAAACTTGAAGATACACATTTTTAGATAGAGATTTTCTTTAGTAAGCTTGAACGTTTGTTGAGGGAAAGTTATTAGGTCATCTGTTCATATTAGAGCTCTGGTCATTGATAGTTTACTAGGTGTTACATAATCAATATAAGGTTTCACAAAGTATCGTTTGTAATGAATTTTGTGTTGAATATAATTTTACATTTATCTGTTAACAATAACCATGATTATCAGGAGTTTAGTAAAATTAACGTTTTAAAGGTTGTGTACTGGGCATTCCAGTATTAGTATTCTTTGGTTTAACAGTTGTAATTCCTTAGTAACTTATTTAGTCTAATTTATAACAAGTTGATGCTTGTTGTGATGAAATTACTCGCTTCGAATGAAATCTTTACATAGATTTTAAGATGCTTCCAATTCATAAATAATCAAAAAAATCAAATGATTTTCTATGCATAGAACTGACCTCAGAGCATACTGGTACAACTGAGGTTACACTTTGTATCAAAACATTTTCACGACATTGCTAATCGCAAAACTATCGTGGTAAGTAGTATAAAATGTGATAACGACTTGAGAGTCACTTTGTATATATATATACATTATTCTATGAGTCATCACAAAGTTCTTCATAAAAGGAAAGAGTAGATATGTGAGTGTAAATGATAATTACAGTAATTAATAAAATTAACTGTTCTCTTTGTAATTGTAAGTGAAGTAAGCTAGTTTTAAATAGAATATGGGAAAGACAAAAAAGTTATGAGCATTCACTCATTGATGAAAAAACTTTCTGAATGGAATATTCTATTGACGAATTGAATAGTGAAAAAATCATCAGTTACAGATGTTTAGTGAATGTAGTTGGAAATGATACTCAAAGAAATGAAGAAAATAAAGCACAATTTTAAAAAATAGCACAATGCAAACATTTGTTACATTATAATTAAAGAAACATACCTCGCACATTTTTATGCAGTCACTGTAAAAACGATCTGAATCGCAAGCCTGTTCACACTATCAAAAATAAATGAGAAATTGGGTTTCTATTAGACAACTTGCAAAAGTAATACTTACATATTTTAGATAAGTTTAATACATACAGCTTGATTTGAATTAGCACATCATTTCTGAACCCTTATCCTTAAAATGGGGAAGTATTTAATATTTGCTGAATTGTAGAATTACATATTTTAATCGTTTCTATCTATGACTAGGTACAAGAAAAAGTTGTTGCTGATATCATTTAGTCAGACATTTATGTTGGAATTCAATCGTTTACAATTAAAAAATCTACACTCTCCTTAGTATATACTGACCAACATTAAATGACGTCGCTGTTACCTGATACACTTTTTAGATGAATGAATGTCATTAGTCAAGATTTGCTTTTATTCGCTTTATTGTTACCACGTGATTAACACAAAAGTAACTTGTAGGACTAAAATCCTTTTCTGAATTTCCTAATTTCAAAATATTCTTCATTTGATGTTAGCATTTGTAGACTGAATAATCGTCATCAATTGTTACCTAATACGTCCTTCATCTTCTTCGAACTTTGTTCTAGTTTACTAAATGCTCACCCTATTTACATCTAAATATTTGAAATCATTGAAACTAAAGTAAAAAATCGATGGTGCAGAGGCTAGTTTATCACTTAAACACTAAAGAGATTTTGATCGTTTTTTGTAATGAATAATTTACATGATTTTTGTTTTGTAAATCAATTTAAGCTAGTTGCTATTCAACACGTTAAGTTGATATTCACATTTTCAAAGTTCAGTTTCAACTTAATCTGCAAACTGAGCTTCTCAAATATTGTATCTCTAAGTTTGTTGGCATTATTTAAACAATAGGCATCAATCAAGAGTTAAGCTGATAATGAAAGTCACCAAGCTTAAACAATTCATCCATCTATTAACCTCGAATCTATACAGTTAAAAACAATTGACTATGATCTATAACTACTGTTTTAAAAACCAATTAATTTAAGAACAAATTTTAACAGTCATCTTTCATGAATCCTGTACATCAATCACCGCTCAAATAGTTATTCTGTCATTAAATTACTGACTTCGATAATATTCACATTTACGGTCATTTTACTTGAATACTGAATTCATACATAATAAAACGAAATCAGCTGACTACTCATTTGTCTTTTTGAGAAAGTGTTCACCTTTGAAGATAATATTGCTCACAATTAAGTTCAATTTAACCATAAAGTACTATCTCATAGTATACAAATCCATATTTAAAACATCTAAAAAAACTGCATTTTATTATATACATTATATAAGCTTACTTCATCATAATACAAAAATCCAGGAGACAATTGACTGCATTTATCACGAAGTTGAACTGGAAATTTCATTAAGTTATTCACAATCTCTTCGATCTGATTTTTCGTCGAAACAAAAGTAAAAAAAAATAAAGAAGATATACCCATAAGAAAATGAATAAAAACAATATGATTCATTAATCTTAACTGACCTTAAGGTGTGCCAAAGTGTTTGCTCATCTAGTTTAGATTTAGAAAACAAACTTTATATTGATTAATATAACCTTTAACCCGAAAGTTACTAAAGAAGAATGACTATTTTTTTTAAAGCAAAAATGAAAAAGAAAATAATTTCACTGAGCAAACAATTTGAGATAATTACGTTTATTTAAATTTATTCATTTTGGTTCTGACCTTAAAAAAAAAAAGAAAAGAAAACTGAGAAAATATAATAAAGGAAGATGAATTGTGTAGGGAACATGAAATAAGAGTCTAATGAAATCTTATATATCTATCTATCTATCTTACAGTAAACGGTTTTTTTGTGAAAAAAAAAATGGGATAGAAAAATATCTAGTGATTACGCCTTTTCAATGCCTTTCTTATGAAGTAAAATACACAACTTAATTTTATTGCTACGTCTAATAGCAAATAAGTTGTAAAATGATTAAGGGGAATAGTAGACCTCCTACTGTGCATTAACAAAAACAACAACAAAAATGAGTTAAAACTTAGTTCATATCGAATATTTTTTCAGAATGATAATTAAATAGAGAAGGTAAATGTAGATTACTGTGCAAAATCAACAAAAAGAATAAATAAATAAAATATCCAAAATATTCAAAAAATCTACTGAAAAAAGAAAAGTTTTTTGCGGGGGGGGGGAAATTAGCTAGTTGATTTTCAACTGATTTTTTTTCTGGTATCTTGTAGATTTAAAATGAGTTTAAACAAATATAACATGCAAGGAGTTACTGATATAAATGATATAAACAAAAGTCAATTTAAGTCTAAGTTTATTAAGCAAAGACGGATAATGGCTAGCAGTGGAATCCAGGATGCACGTTTCGTCTTATTTGAGACTCTTCACTTGGATGTACCTGCATCTCACAGGTGATGTTCACTCTGGGACTCGAACCCGGAGTTGAATCCTTTGGGCAAGAACGTGGATGCGCACTGTTGTGGTGTGTGTTATTGATGTCGATTCATATAAGTATTATGTATCATCAATCGAACGTGAAATGTTTGGAGGCATAAGTTTAAGAAGATCAAAGAAAAGAGAACGAGAACAAAAAACGAATGATCTGGAAACGAAAAAACAGTGAAGTCTAAAACGATTGACTGACATTTTGCTCCGCATTTTTGTGTTCAAATACATTCGATTGCCCCAGCTTGTGTTCACGGTCACTATATTAGTATTCTCCAATTAAACCTGTGGATTATCACTCCACTTCTTATCCATTTCCCATTATATGTTAGAGTTTCTTATCTTATGTTTAAGATTATGATATGTTTGAATAGTACTGGGAAATTATTTCAGATAAATGAAATTCACTCATTAACTAATACCAGTTGATAATGAAATCAAATCAAATTGATTGTATATTTAATTACAAAAATACTAAGGCAACTTTGTTCTTCATCATAAACTTATCAAACAACAGTTGAGATGAAAGTTTGAAATTTCACATATCAAAGACAAAAGAAAAAAATTATCAAGACTTTGAAAGTTAAGGTATCTTTTAGAAATATTAGACACATGAAACCTATGAAGTTTATTATGCTGCCTAATTTAAAATAGATTATATCAAGTTGTGGATTATTCTGATTATTAGGATTGGATTTAACAAAATATATATTTCTCAGAGTATTTAAATGTTATATTCTCATGATTTAACAGTCAGATATTTAACCGTATCTAGTACATAGATCGTATATCTAAGTCAATCATTTCGGCGAGATTATAATTTATGGACGAACCAATTAGGTATTAGATAACAGGTATTGGATTTTGGCTCGAAATTCACTCGTCCATTTGGTTAAACAAAGTTTCGGCATTATAGTTGATGTTAGTTCATGACGAAAACCGTAAATCTAATTCCTAACCTTAACCATCAACCGTAAATCATAATTCGAATTCCTCACACTAGTTTACTGCCCTCACGCGGTCCTAGTTATCAGGTAGACACTCTCAAGGTCAGTCTAGCGTCGCTCATAAATTATAGTCTTACCATTATTTCTCTTAATCTAATACATATACATTATTGACTGGACCATTAGTTTTTAATAATTATTCACAAAAAAAACATTTTGACTTAAGGTTATAAAATCAGCTAGTGCAGAACTCAAGAAAAAAGTATGTTCAATTGGTAATTACTAACCGTTGTAATCAATCTTACTTCCTACCAAAATACCTAACATGATATCAAATTCTCTATTTTGACTTATGTATAATCATTATTTAAAATAACCTCTTAATAACTAATATATAAATGAATCCATCTCATGAACTAAAGGTAATGAAAAAAATGTGAATGCAAGCATTCGATCCAACTACCATCTTTGTGTTTTCTTTCATAGGAATATTCATTGGTAATAAAAGTAATTTACATTGAAACTAATCAGTTAATTGATTTTAAATGTACGTTTTATTCTTTTACTCAAAATTTATACATTTTTCTATTTAGCTTAGTTCTGAAATGTAAATATTAATGTTCTTGCATAAAGATGACTTTACAATTCTTTTTTGGCCTTTTCCGAGTTCACCACATTGAAGCAGAGTATATAGTTACTGTGTAACAAAAAAATATGACATAGAAACTTGATTTTATTACAAGATTGATAATCATAGTGATATGAATCCCTTTTAAATTGAAAACAAAAAAATCAAATAAATTGGATAGATTTTTTTATTAGATAAATTTCTGAAGGGGTTTTGTGGAGATTTTAGAAATTTCACTGATTGAAATCAGTGGTCTAGTTGGTTAAGCGCCCTGCGCGAGACTGATAGATCGTGAGTTCGAATCTCGCAGGGTGCGGTATCATGGATGCGCACTTCTGAGGAGTCCCATACTAGGACGAAACGGCTGTCCAGTGCTTCCAGATTTTCCATGGTGGTCTAACTTCAATTGAGTCATGATTTCAATCAGTGAGATAAATTTCTCTTAAATGGTTCAAAATGTCTATCCTGTTCAAATATGATATTAAATGTTCATTGAATGTCATAACAATAATAATAATGAAAAACACTATATAAATAACATGAACTTAGTCGAGAAGATGTAGAATTGTTTTGTATTGAAGTATCAATTTGAAGTTCAATGACATTATTTATCGATCAGGAAATAATGTGAAATAGAAAACCCTGGAGATTATGAGATAGATCTATATATGTAAAAGTTTAACAGAACATCAGGATCAAAGGTAAAAGATATGACAAATGAAAAGGTTGACAACAACATTAACTGTAATGCTTAAGATTTCAGTATACTAAATGACTAATTTCAATTTTATTCTCATCATATTCATTTTTTCATCTACTTGAAAATCGTTGGATTATAAGTTGAATATTGTATAAATTGATCTGATGATAATACAGACTGTGGAGATTTGTTTTTACTAGAGAAACTTTCATGACAGTGTCTTATATACAGATTGATATTGTAATACGCAATACTATAAGCTCAGGATTTATTATCATATCAAATGATTAAACACATATAATTTCATAATACTTTGAAATTAGTCATATTTTGTTTCATTATAAAGATTGACTTGATCTCAACATAAAATGTACATCAAAGTAAATATGTCTTTCGAAGAGCGGCTTGAAAAGTTGAACCTCTTTACTCTGTTCTATCGCAGACTAAGGGGGGATCTAATTTTGGTGTACAGAATATTGAGAAATGATTTCGGACCTAACTTATCCTCTCTTTTTCTTCCCACTAGATCGAGACATTTCAGAGGACATAGCATGCGAGTAGAAAAGCCAAGAATGAACAAAATACCCGCGGCATACAGGTTTTCACACTGAGTCATCAATACTTGGAACCTGCTGCCTGAAGTTGTGGTGTCCGCACCTTCAATTGACTCTTTCAAGAGAAGACTGGACACTCACAGAAGCATACTAGAAAAGGAATAGCATAGGCCGTAGGCCTTCTGTCCTTACTACATAAATTTGAATCATGTCGTACGATTACTTATAATTTACTGATTAAATATGATTATAAATCAGCTGAATGTGTAACCTGTAAAATGAGTAGCCTGTTAAAATGTTAATTGTAAGGATATAAAGAAATCGATATGTATTTATATATATAACAGTTTTAAACTTGATCAACTGCAACTTTGAGAACTGATTTATGGAAAAAAATTTATCAAGATGCACTTAACAAAATATGAAATCATAATGATAATAGTTGACCTCTATATAAAAACACATAGACAATTATTGAAAAATGCATTTCACATGAATCAATAACACAATGTATAGATGATTCTTATAATTGTCATTATGCATATTCTTGTTGTTGAAGCATAGAGTACGTTTAAGAACTTGGTTTGGCTTTTTTAATTTGTATCTTGTTATCTATTATTGAAATACTTGAAATTTACTTGATGTGTACATTTTAAGGTCAGAATAATTCTCACAGCTGTCAATATTATTATTGATATTCTGACATAAAAATTTATTGTTTATGGGTTATAACTAAATGACAGTATAAGTGTTCAAATTAATTAGTTTCATGGTTACTGTGGTATCGATATTATTTTCTCAGTTAAAGGTATCTATGATGTGCCTAGTTTCTTTATAAACGATGATTGGTAAGGTTCGATAAACAGATTAGTGCCCATCACTCGACATCAAGTAATCATTAAATATATTTTCTTACAAATCTATTCAACTCATTATGTTCATACTAAATAACAATAAATATAACAAAATTTACTTATTTACAAGTTGGATATCGAGGCTATGTGTTTTACTTTTATAAATTCACTTATAACATAGTACAACCAAGTACTTGCTCTCTAATTTATTAATATAAGCATTTACTATTTATTATGTTTTAAATAGACCCTTGAATTAAAATCCATAACGCTCGTTTTGTTTCATT